GGTGTACGTTTTAAGATCTTCTGTATTTCATTTTGATAAAGAATAAGTCAGTCAAGTAAGAACATATATTATGATAATGGGCCATTGCTGGGGTGGGGGGTTCAATTGATTATTACAAGAAGGTTCATTTCTCTAAGCATTGTTCAAGCCCCTCCATTACTAAAAAAAAAAATCGAATGCAAGTGCATGTTTAGTAGATCTAATGTAAATGATGTTGACATAAGTAAACTTGGCATGTTTAGTAGATCTAATGTAAATGATGTTGACATAAGTAAACTTGGCATTATTAAGGCACAGGTTAACGTCAGCAGTACAAATAATTCAAGAGAATAGAAGTAAACCTTGGCTGGTGAATTTACCGGAGAGGCATCAATGAAAGAAAAACAACAGCAGATCTATTTTTTATTATTAAATGCAATAAATACAAAAGAAATGTTAATACAAGAGCAAAGAACGTTATAAATATATTAAAACAAAGATGACAAACCTCTACCAAGTGAGAAATCTAGATCTATCATCACAATGAAACAGAGAGAGTCAAGTGTATAAAGTATAAATTATTAATTTCCTGTCCTGTTGTGCACATGCGTGAGTGAGTGCCATTGTAAACGACCAAGACAATAAAGTATCTCTGTGTGCGTGACTGAGACTGAGCTAGTTCAAGATTTGTCATTGTGTGAATGCAGGAATTGTATGTCATTTTCTCACTTTTGTTTGTCAGTTTATGTACCCTATACGAATATTATCGATAGGGTTGCAAATAAGTACTCGATAAAAATATAGAAGCAATATAAATTGCCCCATTAGACACATCTTCAATATGTTCATTAACGGTATACATAGATAGTATTTATCATTAAAACATGGTTTCATTATAATACATACATTTTGTATTTATTTATAATTTTATCTCTAAAATATATATTTTATAAAATACTGATTCACAGTTCGTTATGATACTATAAGATGCATTTTAATTTGATGTGAAACAAAAGTTTAAGCTTTATTTTAATCAATAAACAATGCGGCAAATTATATTTTCATTTTTTTCTAGAGTATTGTCCCTTAATTTAGAGTTGCGTTCCTTTAAAGCGAAACCATTGGCAATATTTTCTGAGTTTTGTCCCTTGTAGATCTACTGAAGATTAATAAGAATAATGACACTTGCAATAATCGCAATTGTACTACAAATGAAAATGACAATAATGATAATATAATTTAGAAAGAAGTATATTATTGTTA